CTATTTACAATAGCCAAGATATGGACTCAACATAAATGTCCATCAACAGAAAACTAGATAAGGAAATATATATATACTCAATGGAATACTACTCAGCCATTTAAAAAAAAAAGACAGAAAAGAAAATAAATTCTGCCATTTACAGCAATATGGATGAGCTTGGAAAAAATTATGTTAAGTAAATAAGCCAGACACAGAAAAATACCACATGTCCTCACTCATAAGTGGGTGCTAAAAAAGAAGGAAGGAAGGAAAGAGAAAGGAAAGAAAGGAAAGGAAAGAGAAAGAAAAGGAAAGAAAAGAGAGGAAAGGGAGATGAAGGGAGGAAAGAAAAGAAAGGGAAGGAAAGAAAAGAAAAGAAAACCAGTCCACAATAGTACATTGATCTTTCAGAAAGAGAGAACAAATCTGTGTTTACTACAGGTTGAGGGGCAGAGAGGGACATTGGGGAGAGATTGTTTAAGGGGCATAAAGAATAATTATGATTTGTAATAGTAAATATGCTAATAATATTGATTTGATCAACATATGTAGTACACAGGTGATAGTAGTCAATGCTGTACCCCTAAAATATGTATAATCAATTATACTTAAATTAAGGAATAAAATTTAAAAAAATAAATAAAAATAAACATATTCAATCTTAAACATATCCTTACATCTGTGTTTATAAGCAAACATAATTCTTTATTTTCAACTTTTCTCTCATTACCATTCACCTCTATTTATAAATAAGTGGCTAAAATGAGGGTATGAGGATATCCTTTCCTCAAGAAATTTTCATTTGCACTCTCTGCTTTAGTTGACTATGGCACTGGTTCTTAAACTTTAATGGCTATCAGAATCATTGAGAGAACTTACTGAAACACAAATTTACAAATTACTGGGTCTGACCTGCAGAGTTTCTGATTTAAATATAAGATATGCCATGAGCATATGGTAATGACAGTAATGTGATATTGGTGTAGGAATAAAAAAACAGATGAATGGAACCAGAGTTTAGAAATAGAATCAACAGGAATAAACGGAAAATTGTTTCATGGTTTCATCTCCTCCAGTTCCTCCTCAACAGGTACCACTATAAACCCACAGAATGAAGCAAGAGGCAATCAAAAGAGAAAAAGGAGTGAAAACAGGGGATCTTAGAAATGGAGGAAAAACACAGTGGCCAACCATCTTACAGTACCCCACCCAGGAGAAGATGGCAACCCAGGCCCAGAATCTTGCAAATCCCAACTTAGTGGATAAAGACAGTCCAGGTATGCTGATTCCTCTGGATTGAATGGGTGCCCTGTTGACAAAAACCAAGAAGGCCATGCTGCATAGACTAAGGGGTATCCAGTGGATACCCCAATGACAACAAGCAGCCAGGTGAAGCACTCATTTCCGTTGTCAGCTGAGGACTCCCCTTCCTCATTTAAAGACACCTGCCGGCCTGGCAACAATCAGGACCCTGCCAAAACAAGAGGCATGGCTTGTGAAGCACCTTTCCTCCCCTGCAGGTCAAAAACTCCCTTCCTCCACCCAGAGGTTAGGCAGGCTGTCCTGGTGAAGAGCCATATGCCATGTAGGGATCAGCAAGTGCTCCAGCAGTAAAAGATGAACCTAGCATACTGAAAAAGCACAGTAAAGAATATGAAAAGTAAATTACCAATTAGAACCACAGCCTGCAACCAGGACCTATAATCTAAACCTCAACACATGGACTCTCTGCTGTGATAGAAAGTTTAAACAGGACCCTCAGCAACCTCTAGGAGTAACAAAAGACCAAACATTTGTATTATTAGAAATATAGAAAGTGAGGAGAAAGAATAGGACTAAAAGAGTAAACAATGGAATAATGGCTGAAAATTTCTTATATTTGGAGAAAGACATAAACGTACAGGTTCAAGAAATTGAGAAAACCCCAAATAGAATAAACTCAAAGAAATCCAGGCCTAAACACATCATAATTAAATTTCAAAACCCTAAAAAAATAAAAAAATAATTATTTAATTAAAGCTGTCAGAGGGAAATGAAGCATTATCTAGAGGGAAACATCAATTTGAAAGATAGAAAATTTGTTTGAAACCAAGGAGGCCAGACAGAAAAGAACTGTCAACTACAAACAAAACAAAACAAAACAAACAAAGGGAAACTGTTGCTAGCAGACCAACTATGAAAATATGGCTAAGGAAATTCTTCAAACACACAAAAAAGGACAAGACATCATGGAGGAAGGAAGAATAAAAAGAGCAAAAGTGTGGGTAAATCCAACAGATTATCTCTGTCCTCGCTACTTTAAAAAATACCTAAAAGCTGAAACAAAATTTTAACAACATTTGATGTAGTGCTTAATGTATGTAGCAAAAATACTCAAGAAAATGTTATTATAAAGTGAAGGAAATAAAGGGATCTAAAAAGTTGATACCAGTAATAATAAGTTACATATATATAGTTTAATACCTATAGCAACTACTAACAAAATAATACAAAACAATATACTGAAAACACTACAAATAAACCAAGATGGAACCATAAAAAACTGTTCAAGTTACTCACAAGTAGACAAGAGAACAGAAATAAGAATCAGAAGAAATGAACAGGGCTGGCTGGTTTCACAGGTGGTTAGAGTGAGGTGCTGATAACACCGAGGACCAGGGTTTGACGCCTATACAGGCCAGCCACCAAAAAAAGAAATGAATATAAAACACATAAAACATAAAAGGCAGACTTGCGATGTAACATATCAGTAACTGCCTTAGTCACAAATGGCCTAAATACACTAACCAACAGGACCTAACTGTCACACGCAGGACATCTACCCAACAGCAGCAGAATACATATATATTTCAAGCATATCTAGACCATTCACCAAAACAGACCATGTCCCAGGACGTTAAAAATCCCTCAAACCTAAGAACTGAAATTGAGTGTGTTCTCTGACTGTATTTGTAGCTCAAATTTTCTACTATCTCACAACTCAAATTAAAAATAATACTCACAAAGAAGTATTCTTCCATCTTTAGATATTCTGAATAGTATCCTGAAATAAGGAGTTGTTTATTGGACCCAAATTGCTTTGGTAAATGCTGTTTTACTGAATCACTATAATGGCTTGCCTTGAAGTCCAAAATAAGAAATGGTTGTATCAAAGTCCCTACTATATATACTGTAAAAACCCTATTAAAATATACTTTTATTGTAGAATATCCCCCTTTATGAGATTATATATCATATCAATTTCTCTTACATTTCTACAAGATCAACCATATTCCTCCTATAAGCAATATTTATTATCCTATGCAATGAGAAATGTTCAAATAACTGTTTTTCCACTTCATTTTGAGTATTAAAAATTCAGGGACAAATTTTCAAGTGCCTTCAATAATTGTATAGATACCTTATTTTCCTTTGTCTTGATTTATTATACACTAAATCTATATCTTTGGCAAACCCTCTCAAATCATTATTGGAATGAGAGGAATTATTGGAATAATATAACTACATTTAACAAAATTATAAATGATACTTTGGGTTTGTAAACCTCCACCACTCTCCTAAATCCCATTTTCATACCACCTCTTGTGTCTGCTATTCTGTTTCACCTGAAATGACCTCCCTTCTCATTTGCTATGGTCTGAACATATCCCCGAAAGTTCATGTATTGGAATTTTAATCCTCAATGTGAAAGCATTGAGAGGTGGGACGCTTAAGAGGTGATTAGGTCATAATGAAACTGCCCTTGTGAACAGATTAACATCTTTATGTTGGAAGTGGGTTCCTGATAAAAGGTTGAGTTTGGCCCCCGTCTCACTTGTTCTCTCGCCCGCATGTGCTCTCTTGCTCATCTACCTTCCACTGTGGAATGATGCAGCAAGAAGGCCTTCACCAGACGCAGCCCCTCCACCTTTGCCTTCTCAGCCTCCAAAATCAGGAGCCGAATAAATTTCTTTTCTTTATAAATTACCCACTCTCAGGTATTCTGTTATAGCAGCACAAAATGGACTAAGACATTATTTTTTAGACCTTCTCTTAATGACTGCCTCCTCTAGAAAACACTTTCTGAGACCTTCCACCTCAGCATGCATAGGGGTGAGAGTGGGAGAGTCTCTACACTCTGGAGGCCTCTACTACATAGAACTTTTCACACAGTTCTGCAATTAACATTTGTGGTCTTATCCAGTGGACTGACTATAAGCATTTGAAGACAGGAACTCTAACATATTTTTTGCATCAACTGCTAAACACAGTATACAGCATACAGTAAATACTCACTAAATGTCCACTGAATAGAGTAAGCTGTTTTTTCAAATTTATTAATTCAGTACAGGATTTGGTAAATGTTTTCTAATATCAATTTTCTGAAGTAAGAATCTAGATCTTTACATCATAAATATAACAGATAAAATTATTTAAAATTTTATGTATTTCCTATAAAATTATTTTGATCTATTAAAATAAGTTCTCTTCGATTGTTTAGTATTTAAATGCTAAAAATTTCCTATTTAATAATTTTATTTACCCCTTAAAATGGAATTTTTAAAGGTGTGTATTAAACAAACACTACATGTTTTTTTTTTTAAAGATGACCGGTAAGGGGATCTCAACCCTTGGCTTGGTGTTGTCAGCACCACGCTCATCTAGTGAGCAAACCGGCCATCCCTATGTAGGATCCGAACCCGTGGCCTTGGTGTTATCAGCACCGCACTCTATCGAGTGAGCCACGGGCCGGCATCAAACACTACATGTTTTTGAATAATGTCTTCTTTCCAGAAAACTATAAATTATAATACTGAATCAAAAGATACTTTTTCTTAGAATAAAACAATATTAAAATTCAGTAAGTTCCAAATACAGAACTTAAAAACTAAAGTTTTTTTAATTTAATGGGAGAATATCTGCATCAGAAAATACATTTTTGCTTTTTTCCAGCTATTTAATTCTTCTGCCTGTCCCTCAGAAACAGAAATTTAAAAATTGATAGACTTCATAGTAAAATCATTTAGTACTTTACTTACTCCATCAGCAAGGTATTTAAATAGTCATTTCCATCCATATGGCCAAACTGAAAAACCCTAATCAAAAAAAAAGCAGGTGAGAGAGAGAAAAAGAATGTCATATTAAATGTAAAAAAAAGTAAACCATAGAACAAATCAAACATTTGGGCTAGGTAAACACAAAAACTAAACATTTAACATGTAAATCACATACAATAAATATTGAAAAGAGTGTAGGTTTTACTAGCTTTTGAAATACAAATACACACGAGGGGAAGTAAGCAAATTCCAACTCATTTTTACTTCATTTATGAATGTTTAAAATGCAGGGAAATATAAGCTTTTATAACTGAAACATGATTAAGAAAAATTACCCATTTACTCTAAAGAAGGACTATTCAGAAGATGCTATCTACTATGTAACATGAGAACTACACACTGACCTATCATTAAAAGATTCAGAATAAGAGGAAATAACTAAATATAAAAAAAAAATTATACTATTTTTTATGACAGCAACAAGCAGAATAATTTAGCACACAGCAAAAATATTTCTAATGTCATTTTTATATTTAGTTATTATCTGAGTTCCTTTTAGAACCATTTGCCTATCTCTAACTTCTGATTGCTCATTTAACTTTATCTTAAAGTTGTGACTATATGTGCATAGTTTCTTTCCATAAAATTTGTCTCAAATCCTATCAGGAAGCAAGTATAATACAAATTGTAAATATTTTTTTTTTTTAAACTTGTAGGACATACCATCAATGGATTTCAAAATCCAGACAAGTCATGCTGAATGTAACATGCCATAATTTACTTCAGTTCTTTAATTCACCTTTGAAAGTATGAACTTTTGCTTTTGGTAAGTATGAACTACTACTTTTGCTTTACTACATTATGAAACATAATGAAACAAAAATAAAGCAATCTTCCAGAATGCAGGCACCTACCTATGAAAGTGGTCTCTGTAATCTCTAGCAACTTCCTGAATAATTGACTTTAATCTGCAGAAAAACAAACACACAGATATTTCATCTCTTCACTTGAAAAAGATACTATAATAATTTGTTATAACATTTGCTGCCTTATCTAAGTGCATCAGGGAAAGAAAGATATCATACCAGTTTACCAAGGTCATGAAAAGTTGAAATTGGATGATATTTGAAGCTTAAAACTATTTCAAGGCACTATACCTGGTATGTTCAATGGATGTGTTTTTCTCATCAATAACTGCAATAGCCACGAGCTTTCCTGAAATTAAGAATGACATATCTAAATTCAATAACTCTCATTATACACATTTGTCAAGTATTACTTTAGTTGTGAATATGGAATTAGTAAAGAAAAAAAAATTTTCTATAATTTAATTACAATTAGCCTACACATGTTATGCGTAACTGAATCAACACATTATGGTATCATTTATGTTTTGTGGAGTGAATCAATAAATTAGTCAATTCCAGGAAATAGATACCCTCTACCTCCCACCCCCAAAATATAAATAGTAAATACAACAATTTGTATACTCAAATTGCATTTTTATAACAATTTATATATTCAAATTATATTTTTCTCACACAACACAAATTTACTAAGTATTTTATCAAAAGCTAAAGTCATAAGGAATAAGTTTACTCAGAATAAATTCTCAGTTTACTATGAATTACTGCAGCTCTAAAAGGGCAGCATATAACAAGAGAAAAATGGATTTGCACTCATGACCACTCTCTTCAGTACCGAGGATCACTACTTGCCAGTAACAATGCCATGAATTAAAAAGACTCACATTTACTTAACCCTACGTACAACACAAATCATATCCTCTCTGATGTCCTCTAGGAAGGCAGCACGATGTAATACCCAGACACTGCAATCCAGCAGTGTCTATTATGTTCCAGGCACTGTACCAAGCCCTGGGAGACAAATGGTGAAGTGCCATCATTTATTAGCTGTATGACGTAACCTCAGTAACCTTCCATTTATTTTAGGAAATTAATAATTATTTTATAGTTATTGGGACAGTGAAATGAGACTACGTGCACAAAAATATTGGAGTAGTATCTGCCTTAGAGCAAGTACATAAATATAGGATTAAATCAACAATCTTTCAATATCATCCCCACATTTTAATGCTGCTTCCCCTAATCTCACACTGTTTAAACTTCTCTGAATTCTACACAATCTTGACTCTTCTTTTAACCCTCTGATGAAAACATTCACAATCATTATTTCCCTTCTTGAAATATTCATTTATTATTGTCTCTAGTTTTTATTACGTACTTCTTTAATTTTCAAATGACAGTTTCTTCAAATGCCTACAACATGTAGAGCACCTTCTCATGGGCCAACAGGGTTCAAGAAACAAAGTTTCTCACATATTAATTTAACAATGCTCCAACGCCAAATAATGTACCAGACACTGAACTAGTTACAGAGGACACAGTGATGAGCAAACACACAACTCTGGACTTATAAAAAGACAGTCTAGTAAGGGAGACTTTATTTTTTCATCAAATAAATGTCCAGTTTAAATATTAGGAGTTCTAAGGGAAAGGAACATGCAAGGATCTCAAACAACTCAATAGCAAAAAAACCCCAAATAATCCTATTAAAAAATGGGCATATGACCTGAATCAACGTTTTTCAAAAGAAAACATACAAAAAGGCCAACAGTATATGAAAAATTGCTCAACAACACTAATTATCAGGGATAGGCAGAATAAAACAATGAGATATCATCTTACCCCACAAAGAACAGCTATTACCAAAAAGACAAAAATGTAACAAATGCTGGTGAGAATGTGGTGAAAGGGAACTCATATGCACTGTTAGTGGGAATGTAAATTAATATGGCCACTATGAAAACAATATGAAGGTTTCTTAAAAAATTAAAATTAGAACTCCCCATGTGATCCAGAAATTCCATTACTGGGACTACATCCAAAAAAAAAAAAATGAAATCAGTATGTGGTATCTACACGCCCATGATAATGGCAGCACAATTTACAATATCCAATAGATGGAATCACCCTACGTGTCTCCCAACAGATAAAGAAAATGTGGTAGGTATATTTACATAGTGAAATATTACTCAGCCATAAAAAAAAGAATGAAATCCTATCATTGGAAGCACATGGATAACACTGGAGGCCACCATGTTAAGTGAAATAAGCCAGGCACAAAAAGACAAATATCTAATGATCTCACTCATTTGTGTAATCTATAAAAGTTTTTCTCATAGAAGTAAAGAGTAGAATTGTGTTAAGAGGCTGTGAAAGGTAGGTGGGAGAGGAGGATGGGGAGAGGTTGGTGAATAGGTACAAAGTTACAGTTAGATTAGAGGAGTAAAGTTCTAGAACTGTTCCATTATACAGTAGGGTGACCATAATCAACAAAAATACATTGTATATTTCAAAACTGCAAAAAGAGGATTTTGAATGTTCTCACCACTAAGAAATGATCCATATCTGAGGTGATGAATATGCCAATTACACTAATTTGACTATTATACATTATATACACGTACTGAAACATCACATTGTACCTTATAAATATGTACAATTATTATGTGTCAATTAAAAGCAAAGTATTACAGAGTAAATCAATGTATGAGGGGATCAGCCAAATTTTTTTTTTTTTTTTTGTCTTTTGTCTTTTTCCGTGTCCGGCAACGGATCGCAACCCTCAGTGTTCGTGTTGCCCCCGTACCGGACCGGGGACCGGCAATGGGATCGCAACCCTCGGCGTTGCCCCCACGCCTCGCTCAGCCAGTGAGCGGGAACCGGTCTGTATGTGGGATCCGAACCCTCGGGCGGGAGCGCCGCCGTGCTTCCCAAGCGGCGCACTTATCCAGTGCGCCACCGGGCCGGCCCCAGCCAAATTTTTTTAAAGAAGCAATATTTGGCCTGAGTTTGACGAATGAATACGAATTAACTACATTATCTCCAGGCAAAGGAAAAAAAAATTATAAAGGAGTTTTGGTACAACTGGCATAGCCTTTTTAAGAAATTGGAAAGTCAGTGTGGCTGAAGAAGGGAGAGAGCAGGGAAGAAACAAAAGTGAAATGAGGGTGCAGATTTAAGCAGAACTCCAAGCATGCAGGGATCTGTAGTCACCAAAACTTCTGAGAAAGACACTGAGTGTCTGAAGCAACAGAGAACTAGGAGGCCGTTGTGGTGCTTGGACAAGGGGACAGGTAGGACAAAGAGGAGCGGCACAACTTCAGCTGTTGCCTGACAAGGGCAATTATGTTGGACACACAATAGGAACAATACCACAGCAAACTTCTGGTTCCAAATTAATATGGGAAAAAAATAAGTAGAGCTAAAGCCGCCTACTTTAATTACCTCAAGGTCATGCTATCTCCTATAATTACTATACTAAAAGCAAAACTACTATAATTCCTGCATTTTTCCCCTTTTCCCTTCACATAGACCTGAAAGAATCAGAAAGTATAGCCACAATCTTTGGCAGTACCCATGCTAGCTTCCAATACTGAGCTATATGCAGCTCACTCTGTAAGGATAAGCAAAGACAGAAACAACACCAGACACAGAACACTGAAAGCAGGCTCAGAAACCAGAACAAATACCGTCCTAAGAAAGAGTTACAAATAACAGGAGAACATGTAAAAACATTTCTAGTTTACATTCCCAATCAGATGTAAGAGCAGGGAATCATGAAGAGGAAACCCTATGCCAAGTACTTCTCACACAAAAAACTGGACCTTGAATAAAGTTTCCCATCCTTTTACTTTAAAGCTATACTTGCATCCTGCTTATCATAAAGTTGTGAATGTGAACAAACGTCACAACAATAACCCTGATTTCTCATTTCCAATTTGCTATAAATTTAGAAAACACTTTCTCCAAAACTTAGCTTCTTAAAATTTTTGTAGTTTTCACGGAGACCATATAATTAACTTCTTACAGCTTTCTTTTTTGTAATTCATATTTATATTTGTTTTGTCATTTTCAATCATGGTTTAAAAAACCATGCCAGCTTGATTCACATTTTTCTCCCTCATAAGTAAAAGCAGGCCTTTATAAGGTTGTAGTAAGTTTTGTTACAACTCCTATTACAAAATCAGCCTCCTGAGTATAGCTTCTTGGTTGGTTATTATTTCTCATTCTCTTATTATTCAGGTTGTTTGTTTTCCCTGTTACCATAAGTTCTATGAGTAAACCCTCTCTCTAGCTAATCTTTGATCCACATACAAAGGCAATATAAGTCTATATTCGTTGGTAATATAAGTCTATATTCTCATAAAGCAGAACTAGCATTCAGGCTAAAAGAAGTAATTAAATTATGAAACAAACCTTAAAATTCATATCCTAGAGAATCAGATTTAAGTAATCAATTGAAGAAAATTTCTGTAGAGTGATGGAGAGCTGTACGTATGCTTGTTACCTGTATCTCCAAGTTCATACAAGAGGAAGCCATCCATAGCAAGATAATTCTGAAACCTCTCCCTATTGATCCACGATGACAGATCACCATCTTCATACTCTTAAACACAAAACAAACGATAAATTATAGTATAAATGAGTTTAAGATGGTTATAATGTTTTAATCTGTCAATATGTATAAAATGCCTGACATAGGATCATAATCTTAAATCCATATATTTCATTTTTTAGGAATTTATTCTAAGCAATCAGATGTACAAGAGGATTAATGCACAAAGCAATTCTTCACTATAACATCATTAAAGATAGAAAATGTCCCAAATCAAAATTTAAATAAATTGATACATGATGAAAAAGACCATTTATAATTTTTAAAAAACTTATTATTATTAAATTGTAAAGTAGGTTAAAAACAATATTACAGTATGACTGTAACTGTGTAAAAATCTTAGTATGAAAAGATCCACAGGATGACAAAAATGAAGACATATACTCCTAAATGGTTATCCTGGATTGATGGTTATCCTTGGATGGTGGCACTATGGGTAATTTTTATTACAGTTTCTTTGCTATTAGGTATTTTATGACATTCTTCCTTAGTTTACAACTCTTACACATACGTACAACCAACACAACCATACATATATAAAGCTATTGTACATTAGTTTTTTCCATCATCAAATATTTCCTCAGGCTAAGCAGAGAACATAATATGCAAGAGAAATATTATCTCCTGATTAGAAATATACTTCTAAAGTGATTTTGAAAAATTATCACAACTGCATGAAAAAGAAGCTGATATAAAGCAAATGTCTTTAAAAGCCTATCATTATGTCTGGCTGAAGACTGGATTATACTGATTTCTTGAAAGGTGTGCTTTTTCTGTCACTTGCATTGCTAAACAAAACATTTTCAAGTTATCAAAATATAAAATAAGTGATATAATGCAAATCTGAAAGTATTTACGGATTTGGACTTATAAATTAGAAAAACAAACATAAAACTAGAAGCTGATTACTGGACCACAAATTCTACTTCATATCAAGAGCAAATTAATAAAGACTGCACCAAGAGATAAAGTTGAAGCTCATTCAAAAACAAAGTATCCTCATGAGCCCCTATCTCAACGCTTCTAAACTTATTAGTAACAATTAAATATTAGGATAAACATTCAAAGTACAGCCTTTGTTTTATCTGAAAGCTTTAGGCAAGTTCTAAATACTGACTGCCGCATATTAGAAAAATTTGGCTTTTACAGTGTCTGAGGAACACATACATACTACTCCTGTTTTCCCTAAACATGGAAGATCATATCTGAAATGTGGATGAGGAGGGTGTACTTTCTTAGGCAGGCTCAAAGAATACATTTAAATCTAAATAGATATAATCAAGTTTTTTCCAAAAAAGAAAGTGATTCTCTGAGTTGTTAAGAAACTCATAATAAAACAAGAACAAAGATTGTAAGGCTGAATCATGTTATTAGTGACTAAATATCTTAACTTGGAGAAAAATCTCTTTAATCCTGTTTATCTATAAAATAACAAGAAAACTGATCTTAAACAATTGTTGCAATGATCAAATAATACATACTAAGTGCTTATCATATTATAAGGAGTACTATAATCTAAGAGCATGTGGACAGACAGGTATAGAAATGAATTATTTTCCTTCTCATATTTTCATATATGCAAGTTCCTCTTAAGTTCCTTTTTTGTGTGTGTGTGTGTGACGGGTAAAGGGATCACAACCCTTGGCTTGGTGTCGCCTGCACCGCACTCAGCCAGTGAGTGCACGGGCCATCCCTATACAGGATCTGAACCCAGCACCACATTCTCCAGAGTGAGCCACGGGGTCGGCCCTTAAGTTCCTTTTTAAGTCCAATGTCTAATACAGACAATTCAATAAACAGTCAACAAATGAATGACTGGATGAGCACATAGGTGAAGCTGCTATTTAATTACATATCTGTCTCCTTATCTAAAATTCTCAGTTACCTCCTTTGTGATCTTAGGATATTAATCTCTCTGCCTTATTACCTACCTCACAGATTACTGTGAAGATAAAACAAATGTCAGGTTAAGCACATACATTCTACCTACTGTAGAATGATAGTGTACATGGTAGTTATTATAAAGTGTCCTCATGAAATCAAGAAAGCAAGTTCAGTTCTCACATTCGCTTAAAGACATTAAAGAAATGCTTAGTTTTAACATGACTGTCAAAATAATTTTAAAAACTCTTTACTAAAATAAAACAAAATGTTCCTTTCACTGGATATTTTTCTATTCATTTGAATTACTTAAGCAATTCAAAGTCTACTGCTGTCAACTAGTCACCTAGTTCTCATTTCCTTTCTGTTACACGGTAGAATTCAACAAGAAAAATAACCACACTCTATAATGTTTCTGCAATGAGTAGCATGTTCCATATCTGCGCTCTCTAATATGGTAACCACAACCACTGGCCACTGAGCACTTAAAAAAATGTGGCTAGAGAGAATGAGAAACTGAATTTTTTATTTTATTAAATTGTAATTTAGTGTTACTAAGACTGCTATTAGGTGAGAGAGCCTTTGTATTCACTTTTGCTTTTGAGTGGCTGTGTAGTGTCCAACAGAAGTTTCACT